TGGAGATGTATCTGATTGATAATATGAGTGAGGAAGCTGAAATCTCTGTCGGTAATGAGTATGCCATCGATTTATATCAAAATATAACTTTCTGGATTGGAAGCCATGGAAAACATAAGGGATAGATAGTCATTACTGATTTGGAAGCTTTGTTATTGAAAAGTGGAAGTTAAAGTAAAGTGTCATTATCTTGGAGATTATTTAAGGCCATATAGCACTTTCTTTAGAAGACAAACATGGGTCAGTTTGGTGGCTCTTCAAATCCGGTTGGTTGCGACATGAATATTGTTTCATGAAGAGGACCGTGTAAAAAAACATTGGATATGTCAAGGTAAATAATTTCCTACTAATTGGAAGTAGCTATCATTAAAAAAGTGCAAATGGTTGAAAATTTGGCAACTACACTGAAGGTTTGGGGCTTGAGATCCCCTGGACTATCAGAAGAAGAGGGAGCAAGCAAAATAGAACAGACGGTCGAACTGTGAATGCATGAAGCCCTACAAGCACACTGGTGGAGTGCTTCCACATATAAAATACAAACAAAGGTTGGTAAGATTTCATTCCTACTTTAAAGTTTTTTATAGTTCTGAGATGTATTCTAACAATTTCGTTATATGGAAAGATTGTATACATGGGACATGAGCCCTCCGTAGCCGATGTACAGAGCACACCCACCGGAGGCGGTCCAACCAGTTTTGTATTAACGACAGATCTTGTGCGACCTAGGTAATTTACGAGCTAAACTAGTTTGATGTTAATACATGCTAGTTGTAACTGAATGTAAATACTCTTTTTTGCAGGAGAGATTCCAGCAGCTGAAGGAGAGCAGATCCCAGGCGTAGGGAGGTATTACGAAACAACGAAAATGATCCTTCCGAGTACGACTTGTTGAGGGAGGCTACTAGAGAAGAAGAAGAAGGTTCGAGTCAACTGGCTTGAGTCATAGAGATTTGCCTACGACGCTCACCCCTCCATCAGTGCAATTGTAGATTCCACCTCTACCGTACAAGACGAGAATATCTCTAGATGTGTTGATGCATTAGCTGTCGAGATGGAGGTTCACTTCTCTCAAATGAGGTTAGAGTTGGAGGCAAACATGGAGGCCACATTGAAAGCCAAGTTAGATTTGTTCCGACAGTGGATGAGGCGGCGTTGGAGGAGGAGGAATATATGGTGGACGATGAAGATGGGGAGATAGGGAAGGATGATCAGGTGGGATAATTTTTCTTTTTCTTATGTATATGTTGTACATTTGAACATTTTTTTCTGTGAATAGTGATTTATATATTTTTAGAATAAATGTATTTGATTTATATCGTTATTTGATTGAATAATTTGTTGTTCAACAGCTATTCTAGTTCGTTAAATGCTTGAAATGTTTATTAGATGTTATGATAACAAGTGTGGTATTATAAATAAGAAAAAAAAAATATGTTTTTTTTTTTGATGCTACGGGTTTCCGACGGCTTTCTGCCAGTTTTGTGACTACTTTCAGCATATTTGTAAGCAAAACTGACAGTTAGTCGATAGACATATTTATCGATGCTTATCTGACTCTCAACCGACATTGAGGTACGTCACCTGAAAACAATGGACACAATACTTTTCCGATGATTTGACATTCGATTTCTATAACCAATGGACTAGAGACACCAAATCAATGAAATGTCCAAGTCATATGAAAACGACGGGCGTGACACTTTTTTGATAGTTTTATATAACTTATGCATTAGTGACTTGTAACCGACAAAAAATCTGCAACAAAAAGCAACGGGTGCGACAATTTTCCGCCTTTAAGTGTCACTATTATCGACAGATCAATTGTCGATATAATAGACGGGAACCAACGATTTGAATTTTTTTCTTAAGAAAAACTATTACATTAAATCGTCAATTACCTACGAGCTTAACACCGTCGATAAATCGTTGGAAGCAGCAAAAGTAACGATTTTTTTCAACATAACCGACCTAATTTGGCCGTACCGACATAATTTGGCCGTACATAATTTGGCCGTAAAAAAAAAAAAAAAACTTTTATTCGTGTAGTGTTGCCTTTTCTTACTCTATCTTTATACTTGGATACATGTCGTTTGAGAAAGGGAGATCTAAAATGAGAGAATATGAAAAAAGCGACAAAAAAGGGCTCCAGAAAGATATTAATAGTGATTATGAGAAATTTAATCATTTCTATAGAAGAATACATAGATAATGATGATGAGAAAATTTTAGGTTCAAATTCAAACGATTCATTTGAGAATACTACATGACATATGTGTGATAATTAGTATGTTTTTTCTTTTATATTTTATAGATCTTTTAACTGTGCACTATTTATTTTATATCTGCAAATTTGAATGATTTTATTTCCCAGCTAATCATATATCCACTCTTTATTGCAGAAGGCACTATATGGTGGTGATGTCAAATCTCATAGGTTGATCATGATTATTTTCTAAGAATAAAGAGGACTGTTTCTTGTCCATATTTTATGATGAGTAGCGTTGCGACTCCCATCACCACAACATATTCATGATCATATCATCATATACCACTTTATTAGCACATAAAGTTGCTTATTATTCCTAGAACCTATTAACACCACTCTATTTTATCCTCAACAACCCTACATAGGTTATGGTGAGGATAGCCATCATCATGCACCACCACCACTCCCACCACCAAATCAATCTGGCCCATTCACTTTGGCATAATAGTGTGAAGTAAGAACTCCTACTTCATGCACTAATGTTGAGCCTAATGGAGATATGTGAGTTTAATCCATCCAAATAGTTAATCTATAAAAATATTGATAAAAAAGGAATAAGTATGATGCTCCACATTTATCATATAAGAAGATTTTAATTGAGTTGCATAACATGTGGTTCAAAAAATTGAGGTGCCAATTAAAACCTTTCAACTTTTATAATACACGATGCTTTAGTTGTAATGATCCTCATTTATATAATTTATGTAATAGAAAGAATTTTGTTGATTATCATAGCATAGAAAGGACATCAGAATAAAATTTAAGATGCATGGTGTTGCTCCTCTATATGACATATTCATAGACATTCACTAGTTTAGGTAGATGCCACTTTGGATTCAAGAGGAAGTATGGGCTAAGTTGTGTAGAGTCTGGTCATCTCTTAAGTATGTTTACAGAAGGAAACATCTAAAACAAAATTGAGCATTATCATGCATGATGGTTATGTCTCACCCCAAAAGTTTGGAATAGTAGGGCATTAAACATGTTCTAAATTTTGCCAAAATAAAAATGTCTCCTAATATCCAAAAAAGTCAATCGAATCAAAAATTATTTGAAACTAAATATGCATCCAATTAAAAGTTTTTAGAATTATGATAAATATGTAAAAAACATCTTACTAATGTTTTTGAAAATCGAACTGGATATAAAACAAAAAGAAGTAAATGTTCAAAGTTCATTGGTTTGACAGGGTTGAAACAGATGACAAAATAATTAATAATTATAAAAATTAATTAAATAGATATAATCTAAATAATATAATAATAAAATAATAACAAAAATATAAATAAATAAATCAAGTTCATTTGAGTGGAGCTATTTAAAAAAAAAATAATTGCTCCCTTCTATGAGAAAAAAAATTTTTCATCCGAACTCCGGATGTCCGGACGACGGCTCGGGTGCAGCGGGAGAGGGGAGGAATCAGATCTCCGCCCTCCTCGCTGCATCTGGGCCGTTGTCCGGACATCCGGAGTCCGGACGTAAAATTTTATCCTTCTATTAAGCAGCTGGCCCTACTCCCAAATTTCCTTAAATATTCCAAAAAAGTTAATAATAACCCTATATGCTTTCCTATTTTCTCTGCTTGTAGTGGAACACACACACACACATACACACAAACACACCATTATGAGATTTGGAATCCTGAGCATGTTAGTGTTGACAAGCTTACTTGGAAGTTGCTTTTCAAATTTGGAAAGTGACCAATGCTGTGTGAGGGCTGTAACAGATTTTAAAATGATGAAAAAAAATATAAAATAATATTAAAAAAAATTAAAATATGGAATCCTTTCTCTAATTTGTGGGTTGAAATGACGGTTCGACTGGTTTTCGCCAATTTAACGATAGAAATATTTTATTATATATTTCAAATCAAACTAGTCATAACTTCACAAGATCAGTTCAATTTTGTAGACTTTGCTTATTCTTCACATATCACCTGGGGATTCACGATATCTCTTAATAAAACATCTTCTATCAATTTTTGAAGGGAATTACCTGTAAATATTAATAAACTATTTCACATGTTTAAAGAATGTTTGAATATTTTGTTTTTTAATTATAGTAATTCAAATTATAAGTAATATCCTCCAATGAAATAATGTACATATAAATTTGTTATGAAAAACAAAATTATATTAAGATATAGTTTAGTTTTCTTATTAAACTTTCTTAAAATGCATCTTATTTTAATAATACACATGTTATAGGAGTCATCATCTATATATATACCCTAAAGAGACACCCTTTCTTAAACCTTTTCCAACTTGCCTAAGGACATAAACAAATTGAGAATAATTGTACTTTGTCAATATATATTTTTTAACGTGGGAACAGGCCTGGCAGAATGAATTAAATATTTATTAATTCATTATAATTCTGATTAAGCTGGCTTAAATATTTATTAATTCATATAATAAATTCATTATAATTCTGAGCAAGCTGGCTCCCCCTGTTGTTTGAAAAAATATTATATTAGACTCCGCACGTAACTCTACATTTGGAGTCCAATAAAATCATGTCGCACGTAAAATCACACGCAAGTAAAGAAAAAAAATCGGTCCGATAACACAGAAATATTCCCCTCTTGTTATTCAATCTTTATTGTATATTATTTATATGTTATTGTGTTATTATAATACTAAGAATATTTCTAGAACACAATAATACATGAATAATATAAAATAACAGATATTTTATAATTTTACTGGACTCCACACGTAAGCTCCCAGCAGAAGGGCCATTGATCAACTCTTTATGGCTTCTTGATTTCTTCCAAACAAATGAACCGCTGGAGTGAGAGAGAGAGAGAGAGAGAGAGAGAGAGAGAGAGCATGTAGGCATTGAAATCTTCCTTTCGTCTTCTTCCTGGCAAACCCTTCAAATGCTGAGATTTTATGGTTTTTGGCCTCCTTTCTCTTATCTCTACTTTCACGAAGCAAAAACTGAAACTTTTCTCCATTTCTTTCGTTTTTAATTCATTGAAGTTTGAAGCTATGCTGAAACGCCATTGACTTGAAACACTGGTGAAACTAGGAATGGGGATAAATGGAGTTGCTTGAGGGAAAGATTTATGGTGAATCTTGCCCTAAAGGTATGCTTCCCATTTGCTAATCTTTTTTTTTTTTCTTTCAAAATAGTTATCTTCCAGCCTTCAAAATGAAGAGTGTGTGCTTGATTTCAATTTCTATGGAAGAGATAAGCAAAAATATTATAACCCCATGAATTTAACTTCTTTTAAAGCAAAAATATTTCAGAAAAATCTGATTTCATTGACATTTTTAGTCTAACTCATTCAATGTTTTCTAATATGAGCTGATAGTCTTCATGTTCTTATCATTGTAGGATTTTGTGTGAGGGGAGGGGTCTTCTTCCTTTATGGTATCCAAAATGAAGGGGGTTTTCAAGGGTTTCAAGTTCATTTCTCAGATCTTTGGTGATTCTTGAATAAATTGAATCATCTCAAAATCTTTCTGATTTTTCTTTATTTGATTCCGTTATGTGCATAAAAATCTTCATTTATCTTTGTGTTTTTTCTTACCTTATTGTTATTATAGTTTTCAAAGAGCCTGAGATGGTAATTGGGTACCCAACAGATGTGAAACATGCAGCGCACATTGGATTTAGTAGCTCATCTAGTATTCCAAGCTGGGTAAGCCCAGAGAAATAAAGTGAATGATTTGCTTTTATTTTTGGTGACATTTTCCTCTTTTTAAGTTGCACTTTTGAGGTTTTTCAGATGGCTGAATTTAATACAGCATCAGATTTTTCTTCTGGAGTTCTTGGGGAATCGAGGGGGCTTTCTTGGGCTTCTCATGGTATATTCTCTTCTTCTCTTCTTTCCCATAAATTTACTTGTGGAGTTGTAAATATGAATAGTTTGATAGTTGTGATTGTCCTCTATTTACCATATGATTCTAGAGTATATCTCAATTTATTGAAGTATACCTTAAAACTGTAATACATTAATTCCTCATAGAAATATTTCATCTAGATTCGGAGAGATTTATCATCTATCAACCAAACAATTTGGATTTCAGGTATCAACTTGGTAGAAATTTGTGAATGATTGTGAATGATTAGTATTGGAAGGAAAAAAAAAAAGGGATATTTATATACATCACTTAAAATCTTGCTGCTTACAATACTCGTACCCGAGGGATTTTTTGAACTACCGAATGGATGCATTTATGCGTGCCACAATCAAACCAATGGGAATTTGACAAAAATGAAAAATATGGGTTGGGGATATGAATTTTAATATTGGAGTGAAAATAGGCTTACAATTAGATGGCGCTTGATTTTTCAAAAAGATAAACATACTCCTTGGTGTTGTTTTCTATTGGTTAATTAATTATTTTTTCATTTTTTAATTTTTTCTCTTCTATATTTACCTGTTTTCTTATATTGTTTTTTTAATTATTTTTTGGTTTTCATTATTTCTTATCTATATTTTCCTGTTTTGTATCCTTATTTTATACAAAATGTATTCTCTGATTCTCCTTTTTTAATTTATATATAGCTTGATAACGTAAAGTAATCTTTAGACACATTACTTTTCAGTTAATGTGCTATTTCAATAGCCAATAAGCGTGGAACCTAGAAGTAGTTTGATTTCGTATAATTTGTCCACACAGACCTAGCCAATCCTGACCAACTCTTTTCTTCATTTTAAGGATATAAAAAGTGAAGTACTATAAAGGCGCCTTTTCCTTAGTCTACTGTAATGACTGCAGTGATATGCGATGATTGTGTTTCATTTGGGTTCAGGGTGCGTGGAGCAGAACTACTTTTCCAAACAACAATTTGAGTTCATTCACTGCAAACCTCTTGTCTCATGAACGATATTAATTGCATGGTCAACTTTTTAAATAGCTTTTAGTTGAAATGGTGCTTTAAAGCTTATTAATGACTTAGATTTGCCAAATTGCTTAGCAATTTCTTAGATTGAATTGCCCAATGCTTTTGTCAATCATATACATAAGGGTTACAAAAGTGTGTTCATAGTTTTTACCTTGAGAGCAATTTGATCCTTTTCCTTTTCAAAATTGCCATATGTTGTTTAATCTTATCATCCTAATGAACTATGTTATTATTTTTGTCGATTATCTTTACGTAATTTATATTTTAAATTTTTTTATGGCTAAATTACCTTGTTTAGAGGCAGTGACATAAGTAGGGAGGGGAATAATTTGGGGTGGTGATCTCCTTGATGTGGGTGTTCGAAAGGCGGCGAAAAGAGTTTTGGGAATAGTGTTGTTGGTAACCACCCCTGAGTACAACCCAACGCAATCATAGGTTGGGGCCAGGAGGTGTTTTTGAGAGTTGGGGGTGGGGCTTGACAAATAAATGATGACAAAATGCCTTATTGCGACTATAATTTCAAATATATATATAAGAAAAACAATATTTTTACTTTAGCTAAGTTAAATCCTATGAAAGATGGTCTACTAAGATTTCTACTCCTTCATACTTTTTTCTTATTCAATGGTGAGACTTGAGACTAAGCTAAGGTTTAAAAAATTAGACTACACCAACATTTCTAACTCTTCGGATTGTGAACGAGGGCCTTAATTGGTTTGATTTATTAAAAAAAAAAAAAGCCTAACAGGGAAGTACGGAAAAATTCACTTGAACATGAATCATTTATAATTTTTAAGAATTAGTTGGCGCTCAGTATAGCTTAAAATTAAGTTCAAATGTAAGTGCAAATCATATTTTAATCGATTCAAAATTTCTCTTGCTTTCTTGAAGTTCTTTAATTAACGAAGCAATGCTTCTTTGATTGGTGGAAGATTTTGAAGGTTTTGCTAGCAAAATATGCTAGTTCGCTCATTTACTATGTATTTATTGGCATTCTTAAAAATATTTTAATGTTTTGTTGTTTGATTGGAAATTAAATATGGAGGTATCATTAAAATGTAATGTTTTATTTTATTAATTATTAAATAATTAATTGCATTGTTATTATATATTATCTTGTTTAAATAATTATTATATGTTTAAATATCCAATTTGATTATTAAAACCTCGATTGGTCTTTATGCTTTCACATGTTGCCTTTGTAATAGTTTTCATTACTTCAAATTCATTACTGCATAAACATTCATGATCATTATTTTATTTCCCATTCTTCATTTTTTTTTTTTTTGATTAAACATGAGATATGAGGGGCCCATCTGTGGAAGATGATAACACTTTAATTTGATGAGTAGGTAAAAGAGCATGCATGTCAGAGATTAGATTTAGAAAGTGTGAGACATATTGGAAATCATTATTCTCATAAATTACTCTTTTAGGAGTTAGAAGAAATGAGAGAAAATTGGAATCCACATTGAGATTTTATATTAATTTTGTTTATGACCTAGTTTTGCTGTAATTGTTTGTGGAGGAGTTTTGTTATTCATTTGAGTACAGAAGGTGAATTCCACTAGCTGAGTTAGTCCTAAATGAAAAGCAAAGCATAAAAGAAGTTTTAATTAGTAAATGTGCAATGAGGAAAAAAAATGTTCAAAATGTTGGAGTTACAACAAATTTAGAGTATATGAATGAAAGCATGTGAGCTAGCAACACTGAGAAAAGGTTGGAAGCAACACGTATGGTATGCACTTTTCTCTTAATTTGTAAGAGTGACCCAAGGCTATAAAGCCAAGAACAAATCACCCCACACTTTTGCAACAAAGGCGCCGAATGGGATCTTATTGTCCTAAAGGGTGGGTGGTGTTCATGAAGAGTGGCCTAGCAAGAGACAAATTGCAGAAACTTGTCAATAAATATTTGGGTGCGGCTTGATGTAGTTCATAGTTTTTTGAATTTGGACCGGTGAACTCGCTTCTTTATAGGAGGTGGACGACCTGAAGGATAAGCCTATGCAGGTGGAGGCTACAAAAGGTGGATTGCTAACCATATTTGGTATTGAAGCATGCTGGGGAGAGGTCTTGAGGATTCTTGAGGAGGAGAAGCTTTTGATTGGGAGTGTAGCCAGTCTATCAGTTTATCATCCCCTAGTTTTGACAGTTTCTCTTGACAACGAAATGAAACAATGGAAAGGCTTTGCCTGTACACTTGTTTTCATGTTTTGTTGATTCAAAAGATGCTTCTCATGTAATGGACGAGCATGTGTATAGTTATTGTGACGTCAATATTAATTTTTCTGGTTAGATCGACACATTGCTATGTTGTGTTGATTGGAAGAGCTTTTGTAGTTGAGGCGAATGTTTGACTTTTTTTAGGCCCACATGTTCTTTTAGTCCAATCAACTCTTACACCCCAACAATAATTTTATTTTTTTTGTTTAACTTGGTAAGTAGGTATTGACACTGTCATTGCTGGGTCTTAAGCCCTAGATGTGAAAAATGGAGGATTGTGTTAGGTAGCCGACAACCAACGTAAAATTTATAAAAAATCATGACATGAATCTTTTTGATTATTGTGTAAATACTAGGGCGTCCCCTGGAAGTGATGTGTTGTATGACCTTAATACAGTGAAATGTGTGCAGGTGCAGCTAGACTGATGCAGGGGTGTAGTGTCAAATAAGCAAGATTTCTCACATTATAGACGAATGCAGGAAAAAAAAAAGGTCTATGAAACTAATGTTACAATAGGATTTTGGAATATAGGTACTCTCACAGGTAAATTAATAGAATTAGTTGATATTATGATTCATAGAAAAATAAATATCTTATGTATTCAAGAAACTAAATGGGTTGAAGAAAATGCTAATGAGGTTGATAACTTAGGTTTTAAACTTTGACATTCAGGTAAGAGTCACACTAGAAATGGTGCAGGTGTAATTATAGATAAGAGTTTGAAAGATAATGTTATAAAAATTAATAGAATTAGAGATATAATTATAACCCTTAAGATTATTGTTGATGCTAAGATTTTTAATCTCATAAATGATTATGCTCCTCAAGTAGATTTTGATATAGACTTTAAAGATAAATTCTGGAATGACTTAGAAGTCTTAATACAAATGATATCTCTTGAAGAATGAATTTTATTGGAGAAGATTTAAATGAACATGTTGGTAGAGTGGTAGAAAGTTTTAGAAATATTTACGGGGCTACGGTTTTGGAGTGATTAATGAAGAACGCAGTGTCATATTAGATGTTGCTTTAGCGTATGATTTGTTATTGCTAATACTTTATTCGAATAAAGAGATGAACATTTTATTACTTATAAGAATGGATCTAATAATACACAAATTAATTATTTTTTTATGAGAAGAGATCTTGGAGACTGTAAAGATTACAAGGTCATTCCAAGTGAGGATTTAAGTAGTCAACATTGATTATTAGTTCTAGGTTTTAAGATGAAGAGTTGTAAAATAAATAATACTTGAAATCATTGTCGTAGAATTAAATGAGACCACCTAAAAGACATAAATAAAATTATTTTTATGAGTAAGCTTCAAGATTTCAAGATTTGGGATGTTCATGAAGAAACAAATTCTATGTGAGATAAAATAACAAACACTAATAAACAAGTAACAAAAAATGTACTTGGAGAATTAAAAGAAAAAATATCTACAAATAAAAATAATTAGTGGTGGAATAATAATCTGCAAGAAAAGTAAAATCTAAGAAGTAATGTTATAAATATTTGTTTAAATGTAAAAACTTAGAGAACTGGAAAAAATAAAAAAATAGCTTTTAAAAATAAAAAAATAGCTTTTACAGAGTCTAAGAGAATAATCTGTAATGCTAAAAATTCAGCTTTTTGTGGTCTTTATAATATATTAGATACTAAAGAGGGTGAAAAATATATGTATAAATTTGCTAAACAAGGAGAAAAGAATAGTAAAAATTTAACTCA